AGAAAAACAACAAGTCACATATAAAGGAAAACCCATTAGGGTTACAGCTGACTTTTCAGTGCAAACTATGAAAGCCAGAAGAGACAGGACCAAAGTATTCCCAGTTTTAAATGATCACAAATGCCAACCCAGATTAGTATACCCTGCTAAAATGTCTATTCTAGTCAAAGTGGAAAGAAAAATCTTCCATGGCATAAGTAGGGTGAAGGAATTCATGTCCACAAAACCAGCCCTTCAGAGAGTTCTGGAAGCAATACAAAGAGCTGAAGGAATGACTATATGTGGGAGACAGGCTTGTGCCTAGGGTGAAAGTCTTATTGACAGCTATACAGCAGGCCTGAGGCAATGGCCCAACTGCTGGAGCCACAAAGAATGCCTTGTGACATTTGCTCCCATTGGCAGATCATGAGACTGATGCCTAGAGCTCACCACTCCCTAATCACCACCCTTGGAATCCAAAATTGCAACCCTTAGATGTTGCAACAGTCAGGGTCACATGGTTTCCAGAAATTCAGGCTCTGTTATCTGAAACCCAGTATGCTAATGAGGCATCCTAACCTCTATTCTGTGATAGGACGTTGTCTGTTATGTTAATAAGATGCTAAGTCTGCTATGCTAATAATTTATCCTATTTGCTGTGCTGTCATTGGACCACTTCCTTATATAAACTTTGGCCTTCCTGCAATAAACCAGATCTGTGTCACTGAACCTCATCTCCTGTGTCTGAATGCAGCTCCGCTGAAACAGTCTCCTCACCAGCCCTGGGGTCCACAACTGGGCAGAAACAGCAACAATTGGAGGCAGTGCCAGGAAAGCAGAAAACCTGCCTCAGCACTGGGTGATCAGAAGAGTGGCCTCAGCCCAGGGCAGTCCGAAAAGTGGCCACAGCCCAGGGTGAGCAGAGGAGCAGCCTCAACACCCATGAGAACAGAGGAGCGGCCGCCACTGGTGGTGACCGCAGCTGGTGCCTAACATGGGTCTCGAAAAGCCTGACCCCATGAGGCTGTAAAACTGAGCTGTAAGACTCGGGGATCCCGATGCCCCCTTTGCCAGTAATTCTTCTGTGGGTACTTGCCACGTTCATTCTTCTTGCTAGCAGTCTTTGGTTTGGCATGTTGTTCCTGTCTCCACTGATCATCTTAC